AAGGGGGTGGGGGGTGGGGTGAAAACATGTATTTGGTATGATGGGAGTAGGGATGGGATTGTGGTATGCCTTTTTGGATGAGGGCTAAAGTTCTCGGAGGTCCCGCGCTATAAAACCTTTACAAAAACAAAACAATACAAATTGTTTTGTATACGTTTTACTTTACAAACTAAACAATCATTTCCAATCTGTTTCTGGATTGTTTGATTTACGCCATACACTCTGCTAAATAATAATTTAGAATCTGTTTCTTGTTCGTTCTTTAAATACATTATTTACGCGATTAAGCAACAATTTCCAATCTGTTTCTTTAGGCTACTCTACTCTATATGATCTACCTTCTGCTATGTAAGCTATACAGTAAGCAGAGCGTTTCAACCATTGACTAAAGAACAGAAGAAGAAAGGGAATGATGACAATTAAGGTAAATTTGCCATCCGGATGTTTCAACACGAACGTACGTCTATCTGCGTGCTTTCATCATTACTTAAGCAGTTGTTCTACCATCTGATGTAACAAAGTAGTTTCGTCTTCCCATAATATGTCTATTCCTGCAGCAAGTCCGCTTTGGACGATGTTCAGTCGAAGGACTGTCTCACCTGAAACAAAGTGATTGACATAGTTTCGAGATTTAGATTTTTTTTTAGAAGAAGCAGCAAACCAACTCACGGACACACTCTGTACGATTGGTCCTGTGGGCGTGGCGAGGCAAGCACTGACACTTGGAGGCGGAGCCGTCGCCGGTGTACACGCACATGCTATTGGTCCACGTCTCGCACGTCTTGTGACAGGAGGCAGGGGGCGGAGCTACCAGCGGCTCGTAGGTGGGCAGAAGCTGACCTGGAAACATGGCACCAAGAATCGAGGATTCAACTTGAGTAATCGAGTATTTATTTAAAGATTGGTTTCTTATTTTGTATAGAGCCACATTAAAAAAAATGTTGGTCTGAATGTTTTGGTTTAAGGGAGACGAAAGCAGATATCAGAACTGCTGCTGGGGCGGTGCTACTGACTGAAGTGTCTTTTGGCCATTGCCGAAGGAGGGACATTAACGTGTTCTTATGCTCAGTAGAATTGTAAATGGGCTGATTGATCAACGTCATGCTCATAACCGTGCCAGAACTGCATACGGGGAACTGTGCTTTTTCTTTCCTAATCCTTACCATCGTTATTTTCCCTCTACTTCTTTTGTATATTTGTCATTCTTTTGTGACCGGCTATTTCCGGGGTGCCTTGAAAGTCGAAGCAGACTTTGTGCTGTTGAAGCTAGAGAGGTGAGCAGAATAAGCCTGATTCCCTGTATGGACTTTTCTGTTGACATCCACCCATTAACGCTCATATGACCGTATGCAGCTGCGAGAGCCGTACAAACTCTACGAAAACTAAAAAAAAAGAAGCCAGAACATGACTATAGAGCAGGAAAGGAGGCAAAAGGAGAACATTAGAGAGAAGAAAGTTGTTCGTCGTCGTCAGGTTTCAAACACGGGACCTATTGAATAAGAGGCGAACATCGTACCTCTAGACAACGGGAGCCCACTCGTATCGCACTGCAGGTGAGCCACCACGTGCTCAGGGAAAAGCGTTGTGAATAGTGAATACTGAATAGAGAATGTTACATTATAATAGTAATACGTATTGTAAAAAAGAAAAACATACATTAAAAAAAATCACACAGCCGTAGTGTGTATGCAGGACATGGGAAGGGGGCAGTTGTTGGGGGTGGGGGGGGGTTGGTGTGTGTGTGTGTGTGTGTGTGTGTGTGTGTGTGTGTGTGTGTGTGTGTGTGCGTGCGTGCGTGCGTGCGTGCGTGTGCGTGCGTGCGTGCGTGCGTGCGCGTGCGTGCGCGTGCGTGCGCGCGTGCGTGTAGTAGAGAGGGAAGGGGGGGGTCTACATAATATGTCTAGGACCAGGGTCCCCTTTTACAAACCTGCATATCTAACAAATTGTCAGTTTCGACTTGACCTTGACTTGGGATATGATACAGCTGAACCTGGATGACCGTCTTACTATCTCGAGAAAGAGCAACAATCATAATTATACTTGTCGCTTTTAACATAATTATAATTGTTAAGCTTTCACAGAAAACTCCCTCACAAATGAATCCAAAGTTCAAGAAAGTTCAAAGGGAGATTCGAACAAAGTTCATCAGCACCACAACCCAGTATTATAGCAACTGAACTGATGTCGCACAATCTGTCAAATAATGGTGTTGTGAACTCGTGCGAGCCAAAAGATGACGGGAAACCTGGTTATAACTTCACAATTTATCTATAGGACTACTGGTCTTAACAAAACGGTTCTAAGATGTCTTATAGATCCTGTCTTTATAGGCTTTAAAAGTTTACGTACACCGCTGTACCTCTCCGAAATGAAATGACATAAAAATATATAAGTAGTCTAAGGTAAACAAACCATTTATCACACATTCCCCCCTCACCTCCCTCTTCCCTCCCCCTTGGCATGCCATCGGGCACAAAGTGGGCCTGTGACCCTCTTCTTTGCCATCGAAAGCACATAATATACGTCTCTGTTTTAGTCACACAGAGCTTGGCCAAGTCAAAAATGGTGACAGCGACTTTCTGCTATCGCCATGTCTTTAAAATGGGATCTCCACCCATAGCTAACCATTCTCAGGTCGCACTAGGCAGGACCTGGACGTACACACCACGTTAGAAACGTTTCCGGAAAAGACGAATAAAGAGCTGCCTTCCTTGTGTTATCGTTTTTCTGCTAACCAGGGCCTTTGTGATTTTCCAGGTATGGTGGATGATTCCGACTTTGAATTTGTGAATAAGTTGAATCCTAATGGTTCGGCTCACTTCTCCTGAGATGGGATATTATCTCTGTCAGAGGTTACTGTCTCATGCTTTGCATTCATTGGGAACGACGAAACGTCGTAGTGTTTAGCCCGCGATTTCGACTTTCGAGTTTCGACTTTAAACAATCTCAAAGTATGCACATCTCGAACACTCGAGAAAAACTTTTAGCGCATCGTCATGGTGCTGCCGTTATGGTATAACTCATTTTTTGGGTACTTATAAGATAATGGAGGAAACCCAATTTTTGTTTTAATACTTTTTTTTCATAAAAATGAAATTGGAAACTTCGAAAGTTAGAAACCTGGTCCTGGAGGCGTTATCTCGGATCTGTGAGGTGTAATGACCATCCAGCGCGCACGGTCGCCAGCTGCCGCTCTATATTTTGTCATACTGGTGCGTTCATAGCACTGTTTCCGACGACTACCTTCGCCGCAGCCCCTGCGTTTTTTTAGTTCAGAGTTTTCCCGCGTATTATTACCGCAGCATATTGTAGGCTCTAATGCGGCACGGGCACTGCTTTTAGAAACCACAACCGCTTCCGCTCCGAAAGAGCGTGAAAAGGGTAGAAACGCCTATCTGGTGCTCTGAGTGCCATGTGCCGTTGTGAACAGGACAATGCTTCTGTGTTTACCACACGAAGAACAGTTACTGGCTGTAACAAACTGTGGTAATTGGACAGACTATTGGCACCACTGGTCCTTTTTTGTTCTCTACGGGTATGGCCCACAAACAATAGGAAACAAACATTTAAGCTGCATACAATTAACATTTGATGTTTCCCTGGGTCCCTATTTGAGGTCTAACCATGCTCTGCGGTAATTTGCGGACCTATAATTGTTGTTTTCTAAAAATTAAGAAATAGTATTCTGTTTGTTGTCTTACAATCTTTAATATGTCCATTATAAGTGAGCAAAGTTTTGTGACTTATGTTAATTAGTTTTGTCATCTTGATAGTTTAGAAAACACATTGGAAAAGCAGGTACGCAGGGTACATCAAAGACAAATATGGCGGGTAGCTAGTGAGTGTAGTCCGTTCATGTTACTCTTTGTTCACCCCCGGCTCTCCTGCCCAACATCCTTCCTTCAAGCATCTCTTTCACAGTGGTTTGGTAGCGTTTTATATGATCAAAGTATTATATTTTTTTTACAAATCATTTTGTTAAGCAGGTTTTGTTTTGTGTGGAGAATCTGACATACCTCATTGTTAGTATTTTTTTTGCTGTCCAGCTAATTTCAGCCATTCTCTGGAAGCAACGCATCTCAAACGCAATCATTTTGTTTTTGTCTTTCTTTGTAATGTCCAGGTCTCAGCGCCATTATAATATAAGAATATGGGAAATATGTAGCACTCAAACATTTTCTTTCTTATGGTTTTGTTTTTAGTAAGAATTTTACGGCGCTCGCAACTACATATTAAGGTCATATGAACGCCCGAAACACAAGTCGGTTGCGTTCACAACAGTTCCCAGAACGGCTTGGTTTTTCTTTATTAAAAGTAGAGATAATTGCATATATGTTAATAGCTTGCGCATTTGTCTGACTCTTGTCTTTGTATTTGCTATTCTAATATTTACTTTTCCCCTGTTGCCATCGTCTGTGAATGTAAGCCCATGGATAATTGAGTTGATGTGGCTAGTTGATTCGCTCCCCAGCTATGCTTATCTCCGTTGTTTTTCCAGTAGATCTTGTCATGACCATTGGATAAGATAAGGTAAGATAAGAAAAGGTAAGATAAGATAAGATAAGATAATAACATAAGATTCGATAAGATTCGATAAGATAAGATAAGATAAGATAAGATAAGATAAGATAAGATAAGATAAGATAAGATACACCTCTGGGCTGAGAGACCAGCAGCACGCTACCATACAGTATTCTATCAGAAAAACATACCAACTTGATGTAATGAATTTCCCATTATACATAAGTTAAGGACTACCTCGACAGACAGACCTGGTTTTTTACAAATTCGAAAAAAGACAGCAAGGAATGTTTCAAAAGTTTTTGCTCTGAAAGTGTTAATGGGTTACCAATGTTTACTGCAAAGCTTCTTAAAGGACAAAACCACCACGTGCAGCAGCACGGAAATCCTTGGGGAATTTTAGCCAAACTTGCTGGCATTCCTCTGTTAAAATTTCTGGTGCACGTCAGAAACGGACGTATTATCTCGAACTGTGCTAACGTTAGTGCCAATATAAGCCAACGTTCGCGCAAAATCCAGTATCGCATCAACATGCGACCAAGACGAATGCTGAGAGACTTTAATCGTGCCAGAGCTATGACATGGCAGCAGGATGGAGTTGGAGCCCGAAAATTTGCCAGAAGTCTTGCTGTGTCACACTCTGTAATTGTCCGCCTGAAGCAGTGCCATCAAGCCACTGGATCAGCCCAAGAACGCCCACGTGCAGGTCGACCCAAGAAGACCACTCAGAGTGTTTGCAAGTGGTCCTTTACTTATGTTGAAGTCTGTAGAATCCAATTGTTGTCTCTTGCGGAAAAGGAAGCCAAACTTTGAGGTCCCAAGCGCACACAACACTCGTTAAAGACGCAATGGGGTTTGAAAGTTAGTTGTGCATACTAACTCTCTCCTTGTTTTGTAAGGTATATAAGGCAACTCTCTCTCCCTCTCACTCTCTTTTACTCACCCCCCCCTCTCTCTCT